CGGCTGTTCCGGTCTTTTCCGAAACTTTTTAACTGTTCGCAGTTAAACGACCGTAACTGGGTTTGTATTACCCGCGGGAGAGCTCCGCTGCCTTCTGAGACTCTCCTCTCTAGCGTCAGCGAGCTCCATCAGCAAGTGGCATAAAGTCTGCAAAGGCATTTCCTTTGATCTGGGCTGAACTAGGCATCTCCTAACCCCAGCGACTTGCTAAGCTTAGCAAAAACATGAGAGATTAGCAGAAAATAACCAGTTTAAAGCATTTTGGTGGCTCAGACCCCGAGTATTTTGGCCAATTTTTAGCAAGTGATTCAGTCCTTACTGAACATAACACCTGTAAGGTGAAATCCACTTTTGGGGGATGCAGGAGGGGGAGCAAGGAAATGAAACTTTGTTATTTCGAAAACCTACTGTACAGGGGGAAAAAAATCCCCTACAAAACAAGTCAAAAAAGGTCCACTTCCATCATAGTTTTGAAGTTGGTGAGGAAAAGTATGACAGCCTACACCCAGAAAGGAACAGGCTCCGGTTTTGCATGTAATATAAGAAAAAAGAACTTCGTACCTGCATGGAGCTTCAGCAAAATGGAGAGACTTCTGATCAGGTGAAGGTTGGAGTTGAGATTTTACTCTGTCTGGGCCCCTCTGAGCATTTCATTAATTAAAGTTACGGAAGACAGTAAGGTGTGTTTAGAGCTTTATGAACGAGCTTTTTGTCACTAGGAGTTTTGCAATTGACTTGCATGGAGCCACGGTTTCCCACTTCTGGATGTCATCCTACAAGATAAAATACAGTCAACACAGTAAAGACATAAGAACTATAGGTGCAGTATTTTTACTTTCACAGACATTAATCATCTCTTAGCTGCATGCCTGGAATATAATGTGGAATGAGAATCTGCTGATCCATCAAAACATCAAAAGAAAAGATTCTATACCTTTAGGAAAGAGTAAGAAATACCAAAGTTACCTCTGCTTGCCAATGTACCCATTAGTGTTCAGGCACAAGCTCTTTGTAGCTGCAAAATCTCTGATATCTTTGTTCTCAGGGGACTTCAAACACAGTCACCAGACAAGCTCAGAAAACATAGTTTGCATCACACCACACAATTACTTTTAAAATTGATTTCAGTAGGGATGGAGGCCACAGACTTACCCTCTGTGAGGGATCAGCATCTTCCAGGGCCACTCAAGCCTTTAATCCATGAGAATACTTTCAGGGAAACATTGTAATGGCTTAACGAGTTTGAATTTGTCTGCTTGTAGTTGAAACACAGGTAAATAAGAACCTATCGCCAGGCATGTGAATGAGAACATGCCGTTCACATGGGACAGTTTGAGCCGTGACCAGTGAACATAAACAAGCACGACAAAAAGCTGCTGGCACGTCAGCTCTATAGAAAAGGCAAATTTGTGTGCAGAGATTAGCCAGGAAGACTTGAAACTGGGGTATGAGGAAAGGATGTAGTTTCTTACTGTCTAAGGTCAGACATTTAGTTTAAGCACCTTTATGGGGGACCTCCACGAGGGTGATTCAGAGACTGGTGGAATTACCAGTCACATCAGGCCAACAACCTGCACTGAATCTCTCTCTGAGGACCGTGAACTGTAGGAGGAATCTGGGGTCTTACGTTGGACCGCATGAATCCCTTCCGAGGCCTCTCAGACCTAACAGTACAGCCTGGGGTTCCTTGTTCATTTCTAGAAGCACTAAGGTTTAATTGTTCAAACGAGGCTGCTAGGGGATGCTAATGGATTCTAAAGAAAGCAGGAGACAGGAAGTGGTGAGATGCATGGAGCTACAAAAGATATTATAGATATTCAGGGGCAATTTGTGATAATGAGAGCTCATTAAGAGGTTCTTGAGACAAAGATTCTGTCATGAAGCAGTTATTGTAGCTGAATTTAGTGGGGTTTTTTATGTAGAAGGTAGGTTAAAATCCAAGAAATATATCCTGTTAGGACAAGATTGATTAAATTTTAAATGACAGTGACTTGTAGCTACTTACTGAGGTAAAGAAAAAGGAGGTAATTCAGCCAACAGTTTGGTTTCCTAGACTGCAGCAATGGAGGGTAGTTATATTCCCAAGAACCTCGGAAAGGTTTTTACCTCAGAGGGAAGAACCACTGTGCCAAGATGGCTCAGCAGAAAGCTATGAAAATTATTTAACATTAACTCACAGTTTTAAGATGTAGTTCTATGGAGAACAATCATAAAAATAGACCTCCAAGAGAATGAGTCAGAGTACCCAATATTCTTGCTTACAGCCTTGCACTTCAAGCTGAGTCTTGAAAAAGATACTGATCACTCTGCACAGAGCAGAAATTTTCCCAGTCATGTAAGGCAAGATGCTGGATAAATTGCTTATCATCAGGGGCAAAGCAGATGGGCTAGAAACATGACAGTTTAAAGATTTTTAGGGTTTTTTTTTTTAAAGGTCATCTTCCCCTGATTTCAGAGGGTGCTATAACTTGACAGCAGGATTTGTTGTAAGGCAGAATATGGTCTCTCCACCACACTTTGCTATATTGCTGACTGTTAGGACTTTCCTCAAAGGCACGTTCATGGCTTGCGGTGGTTTCGGAAAAAAGTTCCAGTGTCTGCACACACAAGTCAAAATCCACATAAAGATCAAAAATGGTATTTTAACACTCAGAGGTTGTTTGGCGCTAGCACGTATGTCCAGACAACGTGATACAAGGAGCTTCTTCATTGGTTCTCCACAGCACTAAGAGAGCAGAGAGACTGCAAATCCTGAGTGCTATGAACTCTTCTGAAGTGTAGAGTTGTGCTAGAAGGAGCTGGTGGGACGTTGTACTGGCCCGAGAGACTGGTCAGATGGGCTAGGCTTCCCTAGCTGGGAAGCCTATGCTCTCCACTCTCCTATGGCAAAAATGAGCACATTGCTCTTTCCCAACTACTCTTAGGAAAAAAGATAGTAACCAACAATTTTTAAGAGTGCAGTGCGCCCAACGGAGGAATAGTAACCTGACAGTAAAGCACACAGTGTCTTTCTAAAACAAACTTATTTCTCAGTATGGTCACACAGCTGCCTATCATTGCCTCTGTTTCCAACCCTTCTGGGTTATTAAGCAGAAAAAAGGACTATAGGAATAATAGGGAAGACCTGTGAGCAACACATTTAAACTTTTCCAAAGAACTGCTGTTGTCTGGCTAGATCATGGACTCAAGCCTTTCCGAACACAGCAGACAAGATGTCTGCAGGAACCTTTCTCCACCCAGACTTAAACACCACTTCAGGGAAGGAGGTCACAGTAACAGTCAATGGCCACATAAGGTTCCAAGCTGATTTCTACTTATCTGAAGAAAAAAAATCCCACCAAGCATCTTCCAACATTTAGCCATACTTTATCCTTCCTGAGAGAACAGTAAACCTGGGTACCTTGTAATCCAAAGGGAAGAGAAAACTATAAACTGGAAATTGAGTAATTCAACATCTAAAATCCTCATACTGTATCCATTTCACAGTAATTTAAAATTCTTCATATACTTCATCACAGTATCTCACGATAGTAAAAACCATCCTTGCTTTACAAATGGAACAAGCAAGCCCACGGGGATTAAGGCTATGTATACACAGGAGGGCTGGTACTTCTGTCATGTAGCTCAATGCTCTGACTCTCTTGCTCCCCCAAAAGGGGATCACCTGGAGATGGGCCTCATTAAATTGGACGGAGGCCTCCTGTATTCCAAAAATATTTCAGTATTTCAGCTTGTTTCAATAACTGCTTGCACAGAAGTGTTCTTCTACAGGGCAGCAGGGGAAAAGTAACCCACCCTTTTATTTTTAAAGACAACTCTGTATCTGGTCATTCTGGTCTTGACAAGCAGGTGGGAACATCCCTTCTCCGCTTGCTGTTCATTCTCATGGTTATCAGGCATTTAGGGTTTAGCAACCCTTCGCAAACTCAGACCATGGCTGTGAAGGAAAAAAGACACAACCACATTATCAGTTCTTGTTGCTATTAAGTTATAAAGAAATCTGTGTCACCCAAGCAGCTATTGGAGGGAAATGACTCCCTGTCTGTTCCCAGTCAGCAACGCCAAATGAACCAGTGTCTCCAGCTTTGCCTCTTTGCAGGCTTTCTGCTAAATCAGTCCTTTCTTCTGTACATTTTGTACATTTCAGTGCCCAGATTTGCTTTGCACTGATAGATCTTTGCTCAGAAGCCTCTATGTATAATGAACTGAGGTGAACTGTCTTTTTTACTTCTGCCTGAACTTCAGCTACAGAAAACATGGTGGTTTGGGTTTTTTTTTTTGGACCTTAAACCCAAATACCTCCACAGTTTGAGGTTTTCAAGTTCTGGACCAGAACTCTGTGCCTGGTGCTTATCATTAAGAGAGAAGCCTTATTTTTTATTCTATATTGCAGTTAGAAGTTACAGAGAAACCTGAATTGGGTGAGACATAAGAGAAGAGCTGCCTTGGTTATTATTCATCTTCATGTAATCATTTCTATTCTTATTTGCTTGGCTCCTAGGAAACTTCTATTACAAATACAGAATGTTTATGTGAGTGTGACATTGTCCTGGACTCAGAACAAGGAATAAAGTAACTCACAGTAAGGAATAAAGAAGTAGCCTCAGTGTGATGGCAATGAATACACTACTATTCACCAACAGAAAATTTGGATATAAATGGAAATTATGTTAGCGACTAAAAAAGGTGCAACAGATGACTAAGCAGTA